ACATATAAATCCATTTATATCAAGTTAAAAAAAAAACCTAAATTTAGTGTTGCATACATAGGTGGTAACAATTTTTTTAAAAACAGCACAGAAAAAATTATTCCAAAAATCAGAGGGGAGGGAATGTGATATAATCAAGGTAAGGCACATGGGGTGCCTATTTCTTAACCTGAGTGGTAGATGATTATTTTTATTATTATTATTAAAAATATAGAAATGTGCTTCATACACTTTCTGTATAAGTTTCATATAAAAACATTTTTAGTTAAAAAGAGGAGTAGGCCCTTTTTCTTTTCTTTCTTCTTCTTGCTGAACGAAACATGAACCTGATAGCTCAAGCTCAAAGCGGCTAGCCTGGACTATGAGTGGTAGAACTTCCTCAAAGACCTAGTAATGGCCATATCTGTCAGGAACAGACTACTCTGGATTTCTCTTACTTTAGAGAAACTTATTTCTATCTTTTAAAAATCTTTCTTAGATTTTTCTTTTATGTGCAGCCAAACCTAACCCAAACTGATACAGTCCGTGATCTGGACAAATAAAAAATTGTCTAACAATTAAAGCTGCCCAACAATGGAAAGAACTCCCTGAGCAAGTATTCTGCACCCACTTCTGACAGAGCACTGTGGATGGGATGAGATTCCTACGCTGCAAGGGAAGCTGGACTGCAGGATTTCTAAAGGCCTATCAGGCAATTAAGATTCTAAGGCTTCTACTGGAACAAAGCAGCTCTGGCCTTGCCAAAGCTGTGGCAACACTTTGCCTCTGAATCTAGCCTTCTGTTATCAGTGAGAACATGCCTTTTCTATAATATTCCAGACTCTGCTCAGATACTATCTTCTCACTGCCTTTCAGAACTAACTTGACCTTGACTTCAGTATACTGGGTATCCTCCCTTTGCTCCTCCAGGTCCTCCACCCAACCTGCTCCAGCTCTGCTATGTGCTTCACAGGGCCACCTTCTATGAATTAATTCACCCAAGGTCCCTTATCCTCTGGTCTCCAGTTAGGCCTGACCAATGAGAGGCTCTGGCAGGAGATCAGAGGTTGGAAAAAGAAAGTTTGAGTATTTTGTCCCTGATTCTCTTCCCGCCAGGCCACTGGTTGGCAGTGACTATATTCCTACAGGTTACCTTCTCCTTCAGCTAAGCTCTCTCAAGGTTCCGGAAACTACTCTCCTTCCTGGCTCTTTCAGGCCTTAGAGTGATAATGGCTCTTAGCCCTGAGTTGTTTCATCATGCCCTGCTGTGTCTTCCTTAACCCTGCTCAGCTTTGTAAAGAGTCCCTTTACCTCCTCAATCACACTGTTGGGGTATGCCAGGAGATAACTGATATACCCAACAAACTACTTTCTGCCTTCCCAGATGGCTCCCATCTCCCCTTACCCCATAACATGGTTTCTCTCTCAGTAATTGGATATGTTTCCACATATAGATTGAATCACTACCAATCAATTCCCTACGGAAAATTCTTAATCCCAGGTTGACTCTCAATTCTCTGCCACCAACATGTACAAACTGTGTGTAATATTAGAATGGACAAAGTCTAAATAAGAAGGTAAATGTTACTAAAAATTCCTGACACACAGTCTGCACAGCCAAGCCAAATACTGGGAATTGGTAGCTATCCATTTATAACACCCCTTTTCTGTAGATTAAAAGATGCAGAAATTATCATACTGATTAGTTTTGCTTTATTTATAAGATTGAAACAATGCCAAATACACTGTTCATCCTACAATGGCCGCTCAAATTGTCAACAAAATTTTAAATGCCCTACCAGTCTCAATTAATTTTCCCTTTCTTTTAGACAATCCTACAAATAAGACACCAGAATCAAATAACAGAAATGAGCTTTTCATGTCGCCCTTTCAGCTTATTACTTAAATCCCAATTGAGATTCAGAAAAAAAAGTATCCCTGAAATAGATTCAAAGGTCAAAAATAAAGTTCTAGGATCTGGAAATATTCGATTTTTGAACCTGAAAAAGAAGACCGAGACAGGCTTACTGTTTCCAAATCAAGAAAAGAGTGCTGCAGAAATGTTGCATTTCTTAAGAATTTTACTCTAGTACAGAAGACACTGGTGTACACTGTCCAATATGTATTCCAAAGCAGCAGGGCTTGATCCATGAGTAAAATAATCCCAAGTAACACTCCAATAGACTCATTAAATTTAAGGAAAAGACTCATTCCACCACGTACACAAATGCCTTGTCTATACAGATACTGTTATCTATGTTAAGGAACCCTAAACCACGGTTTCTCAACCTGAGTACTACTGACATTTTAAGCCAGGTAATTCTTGCTTTTGGGAAACTTATGCATATTAGGGTGTTTAACTGCACCCCCGACCTCTAGCACTCCTCAAGTGTGCCAATCATATCTCCAGACATTGCCAGAAGTCTGGCAAAATTACCCCTGGTAGAGAACCTCAGCCCTAGATAAACAATTATCACTCAAATCCCAACCAGGCCCAAATGGTAAACTCGATTCACCCATTTGAATGCGAAAGAGAAAAGCCACCTAAAGAGTAGACTGAGCTTTATGAAGTACTTTCTAAAAAGCTACAAGTATTTGGTAATTTGCAACCCTAGCTTAGGTGGAAGGAGAACATGGATAAAAAGAATGGTTGCCACAGTGGAGAAAGATCACTAAAAAACTGCCTGACTTGAATTACCTCAGAAAGTATGGCAATTCTCAGATGAATATACTCACTCATCTTTTTCTCTGAGATGTAGGTAGAAAGTATTACAGTCCATGACATGTCATATATGAGTAAAGAGAAAAAGGCAGACAAATTACCCTAATCAAATGAGGGCAAAATTAAGGGCAGTAACACAAAGAGGGCTAGCAGTCCAAGCTCCTTATTCTGAAGTATAAGGTTTGTCAAATACAGACTCCAGTTGATCTTTAAATTTTATTATCATAACATACAGTCCACGCAAGTCATTTTCAACCTTATCAAACCCAATGCCCTCTTTTTATAACAAATATTTTATAATGCCCCTTTATTATTATAAAATGAAATTCGAAGATTTTAACATTATACCTACAGATAAAACTTTAAAATTTTCATAATGTCCTAATGAAATGGCTGGATATCCATTTATCAGAGATATTCTAAAAAGGATTCATGCAAATATTAGTAAAAAGTTGCATCATATGACTTCTAGGATTATTTCTAATTCTTAGATTCTATTATACACTGCCCTTCATGGAAATTATTTTTTATTAACTAGGGTCCTTTCTTCCAAGTTAGAGGGCCAAGAACATGTCTTACACATCATATAAAGTAGCTAGAGAAACACCTTGAACTCAGATCATAAAGGTTTAGTGTACTCATTGAAAACCCAGCTCTGGTCATTGGTTCTTTACTGTTTAGACTCAAACAGCACAATACAGTCAAGGAAGGAATGACAACTTTTCCAGGTAAAGCACCTCAACTAACATGTACAGCATCTTCAGAGAGTGATGATTCTTGAGGGCCAGTCATTATTCATGTGAATAACTCCTTACACCAACAAGTAAAGCCAATATCCCTAAACATTCTAGATTAACAAATGAAGAAGTGAAAAGTAGTGACAACAGCTAAGGAAATACTACAAAACAAAACTGATTCCAAAGTTAATATTCTGAATAAAACCACTCACTGCTCAGGCAGGCTATTGAAGGAAACACACAGTCCTTAGAAATAATAAGCACATCTCTGGGCATGGAGGTATATCCTATTTACATGCTGGGATCTTAATTTACATAAACATATTGATCTATAAGAGGAAAAATGGAACGTGCCAATTGTTACAAATCATTCTGCATTAACCTTCTAAGGTGCTAACAGTGGTTATCCCTGAGTACTGGATTATTAGGGGTTGCTTCCTTTTACTTACTTACAATTTACAGTTTTTCTAACACATTGCTCTTGTAATAAGAATTTAAAATTACATAAAGCTACTTATTAACTACTGATAATGCATGAGATTTGAGGCAAGAAACTATTTTAGGTGAAATCTTCATGGATAAACCAAGTATTTATCTATGTCTCTAAAATCATCCTTGCTCCCTGCCTCAAATCAAAAGTAGTCACAACTTAGTTCCCTTCTTTATCCCTCCCAGAGACCTTACAGGTTTCAACAATATAGGAACTAAGCACCAAGTATAACAAAACCCCATTGTTATCAGATTTTGCCAATTTCCCAGTGACTGCTATCAACTCTCTGGGCTAGTGAGATAAAGAGAGGAAAAAGAATTGTTTTTAAATCCATGTTTTTGCACAAAGAGACATCAGACTGAGAGAAGTGACTTATTAAAAACTAAACGCAGACACTTTTTCTATATAAGTATTTTCTACATAGAAGCCCTGGGCTCCCCACAATTCTCACACTAAAGAGACGCCATGGAATCATAAACATCCCAAGAATAAAATATCATTCTGGTAAACACTCAGGGAAATGCTATTCTCTCTGCTTGGTGAAAAAACTGCACAGAAATACCTCAGAAGAAGAAAAAGCAACCTCTACCAAAGCAGATATACTCCTCAGCCCAAGAAAAAAACTTAAATTCAAACTAGTTTGTTTCAAAAAGCAAGTGTTAAGCACTTAGTATATAGAGCATCATGATAGGTTTTTATTCTTCTCTATAAAATAAGACATGCTATATGTCTTCCAGAGAATTCAGTCTGGGAGATGCTTATAAACTAATATATGGCAAACCCAGAAAAAATGTAATAGAAATTTTAAAACTGTTATAGCAGTACGGGAAGGGAGAGATTAAAACTAAGAAATCTGAAAAAGAATCTTCCTCGTTTATATTATTATATATTCATTCATTTAATTGTCATTTATCTATCTTAATCATTAAGCCCAAAATAAAGGTGGTAGAATTGCTCAGCTACCAAAAGCAAGCATCAGACGTGAAATCTACACATTCTGATCCTATGGACTAAAAATAAAACTTAAGGGACAAGTGCCTTACAACGAGGAGGATGTCTGGAAAAGACTCACCAGCATCAGAAGATCTGTACTCGGCATCTTCCTCTTCCAGCTGTACTTTCAGTATCTCCCCTCTGCAAAAGGGAATCAAGTTTGTTTACTTCTAAAGCTTTAAACGATCGCGTTGGCCCGCCTCGATTCACCAGAGCAGTCAAGAAATGGTTCTCCCCGTCCTTTGAAAGCTCGGATTTCAGTAATAGTTGTCACACTCCACCCCCAGCGCCTCATACCAGCGAATCAGAACCTTGCTGGCACTGTGCTTCCCTCCGACAGCTGATCAAACGAATCCAGACTCAGCCTTCCACAAAGCAATGCCCCCAGGTAAATACCAGGGGCAACGCCCCAGCCCGCCCCCGACCCAGGCCCGGAGCCCCGAAGCTCAGCCCATACAACCTAACCCCTAGGAGAATCCGACATTAAAGGAAGCCCAGTCCCAGGGTCCAGCCACCACTAGACTCCTTTTACAAACGGGCTGGCCTCGCGCTCTACTTCATCCCTACCGCCCTAAAACCCTTTCCTCTCTGGTGAAGGAGCAGCAAATTCCGCCTGCCCCAATCCATTCCCACCCCGCCAAGGGAGTGGAGTTTCAGATCCTGCTCCTTCTCGCCCTGGCGCCCTCCGCCATCCACTCGCAAACCCTGCACTCACTCAGACCTCGGAGGTCGGCACCCCCACCTTCTGCCCGAACTCGAGCTCGCCCTTTCTCCTCTCCTCACTCTTCCCACCCAGAACCCCCTCCCCCCAAGTCCAGACCCTCCTCCCCTATCCCCTGCCAGGACCCGCTTCCCACTCAGTCCTGACTCTCCCCAGACCACCACCTGAAACCCTCCTCCCCAGCCCGGAACCAGCTTCCTTGCTTCTTCCCTCCGACGCTCTCGCCCG